CATTATGGGAATTTGTATATGTCTTCTCATTATTGAGATCCTGAATGGCTAGCAATGTACCTCAGTTACCTTTGAGTCTCCAGTGCCTGGTAGTGCACTGAATGAACAAATCCCCAAATAAATAAAAGAGTAGTTTAGAAAATTAATGAGAAGGCAGAACACGTAGATGCATCCTGCAAATGGTTAGTATTCCCAAGGACAGGCATCAATAATTACAGACATAGTAGAAGAAAACTTTGCAGAACAGAAAACACTAAAGGGTTGTGAGATGAGAAATGGAGAGAGACCATCACATGCTCTATACAGTTAATGATAAGAAAATATGCTAAGGCATATCCTAGGGGGAAGAGAAAGAGCTTTCAATTTCAAAGATAAAGATTCTGGCAAGCTTTCAAGCTAAAAATGAAAAGAAAGAAAGAAAGAAAATCTTACATGCTATCCTTCAAAAAGATTTTTTGACATACAAGAATAAAACCCTAAGCATTCCTGATTCAAAGCAGAGGAAAATAGAGCAGCTGATGTTATAGAAAGGGAAGGTTTTGAGAAGAGATTGTCTTTATTTTGGCATAAGTTCTTACCCCTGGGAGGAGCAGTACTGCTCCATAGGACTGTGTCTTCAAAGGCTTCAACCAGCAGAGCTAAGAATGAGTTGTCTCGGCCTCTGTAAGAAAATGAGGGCCCCATGGCACCTTGTCACACCCTTGGAGCTCTAGGTGCCCACTGAGCTGCCAGCTGTCCCATAGAACACAAGACACCTTATTCTGTAGAAAAGAGTTAGCATTGTATGTCTAAACTGCTATCCTTGTGTCTCCAACACTTTCACATTTCTGGGACAAAATACCCAACACCCAAAAATTGAAAAATAAGTTTATTTTGGTTCACAGTCTCAGAGGACTCGGTTTGTGCATGGGTGGCTGGCTCCATGCTTTTTAGAGACAGCCTAGATCTAAACCTTAATACTTTGAGAAGACCTGTTTGCAAGTTGAGCTCCTGGCTGGTATTTAGGAACCTAGAATTCAAAAGGTTAGTGAGTTCTCAACATTTCCTAGTAACAGAACCTCATTGTGCCTGAGCAGATTATGTAAACCATGCAGTTTATACTACACATGCTTTCCTTCTGCAGTCTGGAACTGGGGTTCATTCTGAGTACAGGCAGCTTACGTGATAGGCCCTTTAAAAACCCCTGGGTACTGAATCTCTAAATGATCTGTGTCATTGCCAAGATCTTGTATGTGAAAGAATTAAACCCATCTTCTGTGGTACCCATGGGAGAAGATTCTGGAAGCTTGAAGCTGATCCTCCAAACTTCAAGCCATCCTTATACATCTTCATTTAACTGATTATATTTGGTGTCCTTTTGTGGTAATGAATTTTAGCTGTGTGTACAACTAGATCTTGAGCCCTGTTAGTCCACTGGTGAACTCCATCCAATATCCCTGCTCTTTCTGTTCACTACACCACACAGACTGTACTAATTGTCTTTATCCAGGCAGGGATAATGAATGTTTACAGGACATGCCTTTGTGAAATTCTACAGGCACACAAGCTGGAAAGCAGGCTGGTAAAATGAGGAGGAACCCAGAAAAAGCAACACCCAAGTCCCAGGTCTGCCATGCAGACATCTGTGGCAGGAGAGAGGGCTGGACATGGTTCTGGAAAGCTTCACCAACATGACAAGCAGATGCTCCGCATTCTTCTTGAGCACCTCAGCGTCCTGCCATCTTCTTGGCCATTCCTGCCGGGAAGATAGAGTTTTATAGAACTTCAAAACCATAGACATTGTTCTTCCAGCTGTGCCATCTGGTTGTTTATTTTTTTTACAGGCTGTCAGCAGAAAGGCTCATCTGTTGAGACATTGATGTGGCAGTGTGTGTGTGTGTGTGTGTGTGTGTGTGTGTGTCTGTGTGTACATACATATACATAGGTGTGTGTGTGCACATAGGCATACGTATTTATGCATTTATGTGTTTGGCAGAAGAGTCTTTGGGTGGGTAGGGCAGAGGAAGACCGGTGGAAACCATTCTGAGATATACTGAAGGAGTAGATCCCAGTTAGTCCCGAAGGTCCACGTGGGAGCCAGTCAGCCTCAGGCTCTTTCCACTCCAAACTCCTGTTGTGTGCTCCCTACTGGGCCAGATTTGTTCTTTTGCCCACAGGATCACAAGAAATAAGATACATCCATGTCTCTGAAAGTCAAAGCCAAGTGCCCTGCTGATGAGAAAGCAAAGTTGCCATTGGGATGGTGGAAGACACAGTACTCAACTCTTAAAATCAACTGTCCATTCTAATTGTTACTTTGTTAGCACAGCTGCTCTCAGTGTCTGCCTAACAATGGGAACTGAGGAACCATTCTTTTTCTTAGAGACCTAATAATACAAAGAGACTGTCTTATCTATCCCTCTGGCTCTGCTTGAATATATGAGGTATCTCTGAAATGTTAAAATATGTATCTGGGTATGTAACAGGTACTCAGCAAGGGTAACTGCTTTTCAATAGGTCTCCAAGGAAGCAGTTCTGCTAAAATTGTTCTATTGACATCAAGGATTGATTATTGAATAGGTACTCCATATGTAGGGACCCTACTGTCTTTATTAGCTCGTTTTCCAAAGAGTGGAGATTTAGAGAGTCCTGTAAGGGTTGCAGAAATTAAGTGGAATCATTCTTATTGGAATCCACATCCACTGGGTTGCATACCATGCTCTTTCCCCTAAAGAAGGATTTCTCAAACTCCTACTACTGACATTATGGACCAGATAATTCCGTGTAGTAATGGTTGTCCTGTGAATTGTAGGTTATTTAGCATCATCCTTGGCCTCAATCCACTAGATACCACTAGTGTCCCTCTAGTTATGACACCCCACAAGATACCTAGATACTGCCGGATATCCTTAGGAAGGGGAAGTAAATCTGTCCTCCCAACTCCCACCATCTACTGAGAACCACTGGCTTATAGCCAGCTACCTTTGAAGCTTCGCTACTCATGTGTTCAGGAAGCATCAGCTTCAGCAACATCAGAGAGCTGTTAAAAATGCAGAATCTCATGCCTCTTCTCAGTCCTACAGAGTCAGAATCTGCATTTTAACAAGATCTGCAAGGTGATTTGTATGCACACTAAAGTTTGAGAAGTGCAGTTCCATAGTATTGGTACCTTGTGGTCACAGTTGTTCCCCACATATTTTCCTGGACAAAATCAGTTTCTGGAAGTGAGATTTTTCACAAACTTCTCCTGGATCAAACTGTATTATCTCAATCATGTTCATGAGATGCTTGTCAGGAAATTGATTTTTTAATTCTTCTTGGTTGCCACGGTTTTCCTTAAAATCTCCCCACTGAGATTGAGCAAGTAATATATGGGGCTTTAATCAATTTACTCAGTCACCCATTCATTCATTCATTCATTCATTCATCTATTCATTTTTGTTGAAGAAGTCTACTATGCAAACCATAGGAAAGAGCATGTAAACATCCTAGGGTGCCAATTGGAAGCCTTTTCTGACATTTCACTTTTCACAATGGCCCTCACAACCTTTTCTTACTGAATCTGCACAGAAACAGCAGCAAAGGGCCCACCACTACATGGGAAAAAGATCTTCACTTTCAATATCTCTGTTGCTTTACTTGAAATGCATAACCAAAGATAGCAATAACCTTAAGGTTAATGACTGTCTGATTCCAATGTGAAAGGCTTAGTATATCATATGATGGTCTAGAGAAAGCATATTGGGAAGGATTTAAACTTCGAAATCAGAGTTATTCCCTTTCTCTACAAGTAATTTAGTAGGAACAGGTTAAGCATAGTACACTCACTGTCTACTGAAGCAAGAATGTTTTCTACATCAAGCCCTTGGCACCATAGGTTAGTGTTATCATCCCAAAATATTAAGGGCAAGCACTATAATAGACGATCTTCAAAATGCAATTAATTCTCATGAAAATAAGATATTTCAAGCATATTCCACATTTGAAGGCCCCCACCCCTACCACCCTCACCAATTTCTCTGTCCAGAGGTCATTCAGAGCCAACAAAACTAAAACCAGAGCCCACTGTTTCCTGCTACCACAAAAACTGAGCAGAGCACAAAACATAAAATCTGAGACTTTGGAGCTAATAAGATACAAAAGGCCTCAAGGACTGGACAGAATTGTTGTTGTGAAGGGGAAAGGAAGGGATATTCCAGGGCATGAGGAGGCAGAATCACCAGCAGAAAAAGGCTGAACAAAGGAGAAATACAGGATGAGAAGAGAAAATGGGAAGAACCAGTAAAGACCCATCTGTACTTCAAGCAGATGGTCTGGAAAGCATTTCACTCCCTGTACCTTTCGGCCAACTGTCTGACTCCTCTTCCTGGGTTATATGTTTTCACTTCAAGATAGGTGAGAAAGGGAAGAGCAAGCCTATCCCATGATCATGCACTGTTATTGGCTCATGTACTTTCACTCTACCTTGTAGGAGTACGAAGTCTCCAGCCCTAGACATCTTCCAGCTGGTGAAGAAGAAAGACTATCCTGTGTGCTACTGTCCCTAAATGTACACAGGAACCAATGTACGCAGTGAGTCATGATTTTGTGTCTGAATCTAATTTTATATATTTTGTATATGAACATATATATCATAAAGGATATGTATTATATAACAGAATCTCATAAACATAGACGACCTTAAAAATTAAGTGGCAAACATCCAAATGGAAAGTCCATTGAAAGAATCAATAATGGCTCCATTTTTCAGAGGCTAATTTAAACTGGTAAAGATTTTGTTATAGTCTTAAATTTCAGAAGGAAGAAATGATATTGTAATTTTCTTGGGAAGACCCAATACAATCTTTGCACGTGAAATTTAGCAAGATCAAGCATAATTTATATTGAACAAGAACATTTGCCAAGTCAAAAGAAAAAAAACATATTGGGTAACCTGCATGGCAGGTTCAGTACTTAGCATTAAGAATATAAAGGTGCAAAAGTCACATGTTCACCTTGAGGAGATGCAATATCCCAGGGAAGGTGGCCACGAGGACACTTCCACTCTGATGTGCCACTGTGCTTCAAGGAAGAGTGAGCAGTCACTGGTGCTAGATGCCCTTCATTCTCAAAGCCACATTTTGGTGGTCAGAGCCCTGGAGAGTTTATGGTCTTGCACAGATGACAATGACCCACCGTCCGTCTTGCAGTCATTTGGAAGTTTGCTTTGTTTCCTTCTGTTTGTTTGAACTTCAAGATGCTCCAAGACCTTATGGGAGCAGACTCATGGCCCAAATTAGTACATTTTAAAAGAAGGTGTGTGTGTGTGTGTGTGTGTATATATATATATATATATATATATATATATATATATATACATTCATATAGTTTACATTTGAATATATCTGTACTTTGTGTATATGTAAATACAAATATACATCTATACACATATGTATATATAAAATAAACCCCTTAAGCCACAATCCCATCGTGAGATACAGGTATTGAAATAATGGAAGAATATACACATATATGTTATATGTGTACTAATGTTGGTGGAGTGGACAGATAGATACAGATATACAGACATAGATCCTCTTCCATACTGTACAATTTCCTTATTCAAGTTCTTCTATTTTAATACCCACCTCCCATCATGCATTGCTGGAGTATACTCCCATTATGCATTGCTGGGCAAAGGACCTCAGGCATAAACTTCAGCCCACTCCTTGGCAAGATGCTGATACTCATGAGCTCCACCTGGGATGTAATTTGCTAGCTTGAGGGAGAGCTTTGGGCATTTTTGAAATCCAGCATGTGACTGAAAGAAATAAGATTTTTTTTTTTCAGTTAAACAAGGTCTGTCTGTTTTGTGGGTCTCAAGAATAGTAACTTCCCAGATTAAGCATTAGTAAATAAGAGAACGAGTCCATAGCTGTACCTAAAACCAAGAGAAGACTCTAAGGTTAAGAGATTTCAATGACCCAAGGTGGCAGTTTTAAATGGATATGAAGATAAAGGATGATATATGATTACTGGGCTATGGCATGGCCTAATCAAAGACAGATGTATGCCAAAGACTCAGAGCTTTAGCACAAAGATTAGCAGAGCTTCCCTACATCTATCAGGAGCCCTCTCAGCATGAAGTAGAGTGGGATGGAAGAGGGGAAAGTATAGCTGCTGAGGAGTCCTATAATTGTGCCTCAGAAGAGGTGGCATCTACACACAGGGACTATGATAACCCTACAGAAGCAAAGGCAGATTTCAAGTTATCTGGCCTAAACTTTATTGACACAGATGGTGTAGCTGGCATGCCTAAGCCTTTTCCCACCTCTGGTGCCTTCTGATGGCCCCACACCTTTCTTCAACATACCCAGATTCAACTCTCTCTTGTTTCTGCATCACCTTCCCTTCCAGGCTCCTTGATGGCTTATTGCACAAAGAATAATGCTAGTTGAAGTCATCCTCACCCTCTGAGGTTTCTCAGTTCCTCTTCCATCCATCAGTTGATCCTCCCCTTTAGGATTGTCCCACTTATCCATTCCCTTCGCCCAAAACTCGTGGTGTCATCACTTAGTAACTGAGTCCTGTTGTCCAGAACTCATGGGCCTGGACAGAGAAGAGTTCATATTTGGTGACCATGTTTTCTGAGATTAGGTGCCTTTGAGATTTGAACTGGACTTTAATGGGTAGGTAGGGAAGTGTTGGATGATGATAAGAAAGAAGCACCTCAGAGTGGAGGAAGCAAAGTGTACAATGACACCAAGGTACTGGAAGGGTATGGGGGACTGAGGGAGCAGTGAGAGCTCTGAGCACAGATAGCACAGGGTTTATGGGGAAAGAGTGGATGCCACATCTGTAAAGTCTAGTTATGATGTCATAAAGAAAAGTTATAACACCATTTATAATGCCATAAAGAAAAGTCGCTCTGGGGCAAAGCAACTAGGGCTATACAATTCACTTATGAAGTAAAAGTAGCCAAATCTGTGATGGAATGACAATTGGTGGTTAAAGAGAAAGGGGATCTGAGAATGCTTCATGGAACATTAAACTAATTTAACTGAAATCTAACAAAAAAGGAAATATCAACTAAAAAACACCCCCATATTTCAATACTGCTCAGGTCTCTGGGTGGGAAAGTCCACATGAGCTTGCTTCCATTAAGACTGAGGCTATTTGCTTACTGGAGCCTACAACATACTACTTGGACAAAGAATATGTCAGAATTTCAGACCAGTGGGCTGAATCATCTCCCAATAGATTGGTGTGGATTCTCTTGTGCTGTGTGCTTTTTCACCAGGTCTGGGGAAAGCTACAATAAAGCTTTCTTTGTCATTATCATGGGATATGCAATGTCAGTCATGTCCCCTCGTTATGCTGAAGCTCTCTACTGGGGCTCAAAGGGACTCCTAGCATGGTCAGCATCTATGAAGCCAGGCCAAGTTGTCCAGCTGCATTGGCGAGGGCAGGCTAGGCAGGGCCAGGCTGGACTCTACACCATGTGTGCCCTTTGTGCCAGGGCTGCTGTCCTGTTCACAGGGGGCTACTGGCAAGAAATATCCCCAAACACTCAGTTGCAAGGTTGTAAATTTCAGCAAGGTTATTCAATATTCATGTAATTACCCCGGAAAGCACATTTGACATTTCATAAATACAGTAGAATATTTAGCATTTGTCTCTCTCTCTCTCTCTCTCTCTCTCTCTCTCTCTCTCTCTCTCTCTCTCTCTCATGCTATCAAAGCATACATGGAAAAATAATCCCCAGGGACCCCTGCAGTCTGAAATGGCAACAGTTATTGAATCTATAAATTTGATCAAAACCTTCCTTCTTCAACCCCTCCATAATTTATAAACGGAAGTGAGACCATATAAATGAAACAGACTGCTGTCTCCCTCATGAAGCACGACTGTTCCTTGGAAAATTCTTGCCTCCCACCCACTCTGCCTGCAGCTTCAGGCCTTAATGCTGGGCATCTTCCCAAAGTGAGCTGCACAAATCTCAGACCATGCCCAGACCCATGGCCATAGGTCGGGGCCCTGAGCACGGAGGCCCTGGATGTCCAGGCAACAGTAGGCACCAATCATAAACTCATGGTGTGGCCTCAGAGCCACCAGACACTAGCTACTTATCACCCTAGACCTGGAAGCTGTGTTTCTTTTCTACACCTGAAACGAAACAATGACCTTCACCACTGATAGACTAATGAAAGTGACCCAGTGCACAAGTACAGCCTAGTGGTTTGTCCCTAAAAGAAGTAACAGAAGTTTTCCATACCTAAGGCAACATAGTCAACAGACCAGAGTTATTTTCAAAGCCATGTAATGAATTATATTCATTTATCTTGGTATGAAAGATGCACCCTTATTATGTAAATGTGTGTTCTATATCCATGTATGCATGCACATGCCGGCATGTAATATCTCTTTAAGGAGTGCATGTATATGTGTATGTCTCTCATGTGATGTGTCTGTGAGGTGACATATGTGCCTGTATGTGTATGCATAAGTATATAACAAATATATACATATGAATGTATGTGCATGTTAATGCTATCCATGGAGGTCCACAAAATCATGTGTGTTGATATTTATGACTGTCATGTGCTTGTATATGCAAAGATGAATATGTGTGCATAATGCATGTTAGTATGCATGCAAATAAATGAATGCACATGTATGTGGGTTTATGTATGTGTAATTTAGTTTAAATGCATTTAGTTCAGTATTTAGTTAAATATATTTAGCTTAAATGTATCCATGGGTAAATATATGACAGGTATTATTTTTTTACAGATATTATATGTTTATTCTCACACCACCTTCAAAAGTCTATAATAACTTTCATTTTGCTGAAGCACAAAGTGAACATCTGAGAGACAGAATGGATGCTGAGGATTGCACAGGTAGCAAAAGGCAGAACTGAGATTAAATCCTGGTCTGACATACTTTAGGCAGGTCAGTGCTCCTGATGTGTACATGTGTGGGCATGATGTGTACATGTGTGGGCATGATGTATACAATCGGCCTCTGGTGCCACAGGGCATTAGTTCTAGGACCCACCACGGACACCCAAATCCCTCATATAAAATGACATGGTGTTTGTATAACCTACACACATCCTCCCGCGTACTTCAAATCATCTCAAGATTACTTATAATACCTAATACAATGTAAATGCTAAGTAAATAGCTGTTGTGCTATATTGCTTGTGGAATAATGACAAGAAAAAACACTGTACAGGTTCAGTACAGATGCATTTTTGTTTTAAGAATATTTTTTCTCTGAAGTTGGTTGAATATGTGGATGTAGAAGCTTGAACCAAGAGGGATGACTGCATATACACATGTGTGTTGTGTAAGGCTGTGAGTGTGTGTGTGTATGCAACCCCTGCACAGGGCTCTCTGTGCCCAGAGGCCTCTGCAATTGCATGCAAAGAGAAGTTGCCTACATGCCCTTGTAGAAGCCACCTCCTCTAATGGGTCCTTTTATTTTCCTAGAGGCCTTCCCTTCACTGAGCAGTCTCTTCCCATGATGATTTTGTGTTACTCTGTAGCCCTCCTAGAGATCCTGCGGCAACAGAGGTACTAGCCAGGTGTGGGGATAGCCACTTTAGCAGGGCCATTTCAGCTCACCTAGCTTGTGCTGAGGCTTTATGGCAAGAGCTTCAGAGGCCCAGAGTGCTCAGGAGTGTGCTCTGGCCACAGAGTGGGCCTATCTGTGACTTCTATCTTTAAGGAAGGCAGACAGCACCAGGATGAACTGGTGAGTTATTAATCATACAATGGAGACCACCATATCTCCTGCTCAGGGTGGCTGATAGAGAAAAGTGAGATAAGGTACAAGTGCCTGGCATGAGGCCATGTAGACATGATGCTTGAAACATCAGCATCCTCTCCTTGCTACAGACAGCTGAAACTTACAGCCATGCTGCCCAACCAGACGGGGGTATTTTCCTGTTAGTCTTTTTTGCAAACTGTACACTTGAAGCCTGTAAATGTGAGCCTGTTCTAAGCCTGCCTTTCATCCTTTGAGAAATACCCACATGCAACAGTTGGGGTCTTGCAGCCACATTGGTACCATATGACCTGTCTCTGCTCCCAGATACTGACAACTGGCATTGAGGGAGACTTCCTTCCCTGCAGCCAACAGGCACAAACCAGTGAGATTCATCCTTCCAGGAATCTGGACTAAGTTTCCCCAGGGGGTCTTGCTGGCATCTGTGGCACACTGCAGTACAGAGCCAGCCAGACCAGAACTGGGGCATCCTGGACATGCTGAGGTAGAGGAATTTGTTTGTAAAGGAGGACAAAAAATGCAGCTGGAAGAAACAGAGACTGTGCAGTCCCCAGGGGACAGGCAATGTCCTTTGTTCTCCACTTCTCATTTTCTCAGAGACCTGACTAGAACACCTCACCTCTACTTCCTCAAGGAAACTGTTACATCCTTCAAAAAAAAGCCTCTTTTTAGTTCATGATATCCTGGTTGAATTTCTGTTCCTTGCTACTCAATTACACCGGAATAAATTTCTGAGGCACTGGGATTTCTAGAACAACCCTAACACCCTCCTGCACAGTGGGTGAAGACACACCAATTCTAGGATCCCTATAAACCAGGCCCATCTCCTTTGCAGTCTTGATGAAAAGGAAACTGTAGAAAATCTCAAAACATTAGGCTAACCTAATGGCCCTATGTGAGAAAAACAACAATAAAAATCTATTATATGCTTAAGGCTCCCAAATCCAACATAGCCTCAAAATGAGCTACTCTTTTCCCCTTAAATATCTAATATCTGTACATTGTATTCTAAAAAGACATTATACATGCAAACATCACAATAGCACATGACATATTTACATGTATAGCCAAGAGTTGGGGCAGGTGTCTGCATTTTAATATTTAAATAACATTGATTCAAAGTATATGGTTTTTCTGCTCTAAAGTCACTAATTCCCCATATTTTAGTGACTTTCCAAGGCTGTCTGTTTTTATGTTGCCTAGTTACTGCCCTCTGCCTTTATTGATGTCTCCCCTCCCTCTGAGCTTTACCTACCTCTGGCGGAGACCCAGAACCCATCCCTTGATGTCTTGCAGACACTGTGGCTGCAGCCTTTCGGCTACACTGGTGCTTTCTCTGAAGAGGCCTGATTGTACTTCACAGTAAGCAGCCTGAAGTGACACAGCTGCCTTCACCTCTCCTAGCAGCCTGCAAGGCCTGGGCTTCCTGTGCCAGGCCTGGCTCTAGAACCCTGGACACCTCTCAGCAGCTCCCTGCTGCTCCAGCCCCTTCCCCTTCCCTTTTGCTCAGCCCAGCACCTCCTCCCTCCCACCCTCATGCCCCCTAATTCCTCTCCTCATAGACCCCAACCCACTCAGATCACATCTACAGGGCCTGTAGTCATATTTAAAAAGTCCCATTACATCTTGTCTTGTTTTTAACAAGCACGATTCTCTCCCTGAGTGCAAGTCTGCTCCTAGCATCCAAAACATACTTCCCATGTCCTCCATGAACAACTGTAGGAAACAAGGCCATCCTAAGGAGTGTAAGGACATTCTCCATCCCTGAACTCTCTCCCAGCTCTCTCCCCTGACCCCTGTCCCCTGCCTACCTGCTCAGCTCCTCCAGGTCACCCAGAGTAGGTGGTCCATCCTGCATGAGGGGGCTCCTCCCCACAGACTCTTCCTTCTTGCTTCAATACCTAATCTTTCTAGCTGCCAAATTGCAGCATCCTTCCCTACTCAACTCAAACAATGTCTTCTTTGAGACTCCCCCTAATTCCCGATACCTAGCAGGAATTCAAGGCCACTGTCCTCCAGCTCCTCAT